AATTTAAATTATTATATAGCAAATGTATTAAATATAATAAAAGTTATACAGACAAATTTGCAAAATTCAATATATTTAAATTTTATAATAAGTAAAATCATTGTATCACTTATATATTTAAATAAGTCTAACATATATATGAAAGCCACTATCCTACCTATGCTGCTTAAATATTTTCTACTAATAAATTATTATTAAGTATAGAATTTTGTATAAATTAATAATTTATACAAAATTGTTATTCTAAAATTTAAGAATTAAAAATATATAAAATTATAATTCTAACATTTATAGTTAATAATTATAATTTTTAAATCTAAAAAATAATCACTTAAATTTTCTTTTAATAGTCACTGTATATTTGTATTTAATATATTAAAATAATAGTATTAAAATACTTATTATACTTTTTTATAAAATTAAAAAACTAATGATAAAATATTATATTATAATTAAAAATAATTAGGTTATTCATCATTATTCTTAATAAAATATATAATTATATTAAATTATTTTATTATATAAGCATTTTGCAAATTTGTCTGTATAACTTTTATTATATTTAATACATTTGCTATATAATAATTTAAATTCAAATAAGTTTGTAAACAAATTTGTTTGCATTATATTTAAATAATTAATAAATATAATAAAAGTTCAAATCTTTTTATTTTTTTTTTATAATAGATAATGGTAAATATAAAATAAATTTTTTAATTTTTTTTTTTTTTTTTTTTTTGTAAAAATAGATATAATAAAAACAATTATTTTTATAATAATCAATTAATAATTAAAATTTAAACATTATTAATAATTTTAAATTATATTACATTTTTTAATTTTATATATAGTAATAAAACTGCATATATTATTTTAAATTATTAAATTATTATTAAATTCGAATTAATAATTACAATCAATATAAATTTAATATTTAAATTAAAGTTTAAGATAATCAAATAAATTTTATTCATATAAATAATAATTATTATAATTACTAATTATATATTAAATTTAAAATTTGCAGTTATACATAAAGGTAATAAATATCATAAATTTTAATAATAGTTTTCTTTTTTGGTAGTAAAATGATTTACATGAATGTGAGACTAATAACATGCTATTTTCAGGTGTGATTCTCGAATGACTAGTCATCAGGTAATGATTTTTAATTACCACGAGGATTACAACACGTTTCTAAAATGAAATGGTTGATTCGTATGATATGTTAATAGTCAAACATCAGGAGATTAGAAAATTTTTCAATTGAATATTACACGTGATCTTGTATGAAGCGGAACTCTTCTTATCGGTTACATTATATTATAAACAATAAATGTTAGACGAATATGCATTTTTCTTCACATTTTTTTTATTTTTTTTTTTCGTTTTGAAATTTAAAACAAAAAAATATAAAATAACGACTTAAAAGCAAAAGCAAATCAAAAAAAGAAATCATCTTATTTTCATTATACATACATTGTATGTAATGTAAAATAAAAAGAAAATCGTTAAATCCCCACCATAAGTAAAAAATAAAGAAAACTAAATCCTAAAAGATAAAAAATGAAATTAAATATAAACAAGAAACAAAAAAAAAAAAAAAAGAAAGATTCTTAAAGGATGAATGGTAAGCCGACCCGGATCAAGATACCAATCAATGGAAAAGCGTGACGGTGGGTTGGTGGGGAAATTTGTTAATTTTTTTTTTTAATGTTATAACGGAAAAAAAAAAAAAAAAAAAAAAATGCTATGATATATATTTATATATTGCTTTAAATACAAGTGGTTGATAATTTCGATCCTGGTCAAGTCAAGAAAGATAAAGAAAATTTGTCCATTGGATGATTAAAACGAATAATTTATGGTAAATGTACATTATATCGGATTGAAGAAACGATTTAAGGAATCGTGTACATTGAAAATTACATCCGGTTAAAAACAAAATGATGATGATAAAAAAAATAATACAATTTCTCATCTTCCTAAAATAGGAGAGAAGCAAACAAATATGGGAATAAATTTTCAAAAAAGAAAAAAGAATAAATCATAATAATAATACACATCGTAAAATAATACTCTAGAATATTCTACTTTTGGTTTTGATGCGTGAAAAAATGAATGATATATATAACAAATATATATATATATATTATGGCGTCTGATATCATGTCAAAACCAATTGAAAAAAAAAATATTAAGTCCTTTGATTCAGAGCGCATACTAAGTTCCTCTAGTCGCTATTATTTTTTTTATAAAATGAAAAGTAATGTTAATTATGGGAAAAAAGCTCGATTTACAACTCGTTAGGTAAGAGATAGTCAGGTCCCCGATATAGAGCCAGGAACAATCCAGCAACAAGGAAGAAAAGAAATCGACACCATCTCCATATCATCCTAAGGAACTTTACAATGGCTCTTGCCCATCTTCGCCAGAACCATTCTCTTCGTCGGTTGGCATCTTCGTTATTTACTTCGAATTCATCCAAGAAACTAAATTCATCATCTGATAGGTAGTCGAGCGTTAAGTTATCATCATCCGGTCGCGCGCCATTTAAAATGAAGAAATCACTGAGATCTTTCTCTGAAGAAATCGGTGAGAAAGGTGGTGATGTATCTTCACCGTTACCATTCTGTACTTCTCGTTTGAACATCGTTAAATTACGGAACCATTCGTTTTCCAACTCTGAAAGTAAAGTCTTTTTTATCTTTCCACCTGAAGAATCCTGATTATTTTGCTTTGGTGCTACACCAAACATAGCACGCATCCCATCAGGGTCGCTTACTCTTCTTAAAGCTTTTGACATAATATTACCACCATCAGATATGGAATTTGCACGTGAGGTTCTCTGTGACCAAAATCCTGATCGATAATTTACAACCAAGGCACGTTGTTCCTCAAGACTCTCGTTAAGTTCAGCAATTATTTCATCCTTTCTGAGATTATCTATTTGTAACATATCATAATTACTTGTTTGTTGTGATAATTCATCGAATTCACTTTGAAGCGTTTCCAATTTAGCTGTTAAAAGACTACACCGTCGTTCAATATCCGCTTTTGATCTTTCAATGATCGTATTTTGGTCTTCTAACTCTTGTACTCTTTGAACTAATGCATCAATAAATTCATCATTCTCATTTGATTTTTTATTATATTTAATATTCCAAAAATCAGCCTTTTGCTTTTGAGTGAGACGGTCGGTTTCCCTTTCGAGGTCTTCAATTTTTTGTGAGGCCATTAAACATTCATCTTGGAAGTGTTTAACGTCCGCTTCAAGTTTACGCACTTTGGCTTTATTTGATCGATCACACTCATTATAATCCCTTATCGCATCGTCAAGTTGCTGTTGAAGTTCTTGATTTCGCATTTCTAAATCCCTAAGATTTTCAAGGTCCTTATAATTTAAGCCTGAATTTTGTTGATCGCGATTCTTTCGTTTAATCGGACCATCATACGGTGCAGGATAGTCATGAGAACTGGTCCATGCTTGATGTGATTCATTATCACTATCCTCAAATTCCACTTGATCTTCTAATGAGTTATTTGGCGGAGCTATTGGAGTCGCATGCTTGCTGTCAATTGGATGTTGTATTGAAATAATGTTTCGTGCTCTTTGGGCATGTTGTAATTGGACTATGGTTGACTCATATTTGGATTTTAACGCAATGTTATTTTCGAGAAGGCTTTTACCGATTTCGGCGGCAAGCGTAAGATCTATTATGGATTGAAGCAAATAATAAAATTATCGAAAGGTAAGCGATTGAGAACTTATGAATAGGAAAGCTTTATGAGAATGTCAAGCACAAATATTTATACGACGATGATATTAAACCCGTAAAGCGTTCATAAACAATGGAAAGGGATTATTGCGCACTTCCAATAATAACAATAACAATAATATATAAAGACTCGTGCTTTTAACAAAAAATTTACCTCTCTCTCTTTCTCGTATTACGCCATATGCTTCTTTTAATAATGAAGTAAGCTCAGCATGAGATTTATTGACGTTCCAAGAGCCTGAGAACGTTGGTGAAGGTGGAACCGAATCAAATTGTTTTGGCGAATTAAATGCCGGAGATGCGGAGAATACTGGAGACGACGGTGAGACCGGAGAACCGGCATTTGAATAAGTTGGAATATGGAGATTTAATTTCTTGGGACCTGGTGCTTGTGGTGATGCCATCATCATCTTTCGATACTGATGTTTGGTATATAATTATTAAATTTTTTTTTTTTTTTTAAAATTTTTTTTTTTTTTTTTTTTTTTTTTTTGCTTTTGAAAAAAGTTATTTAAATATTTTTAAGTCGATTCGCAATTGAGGTTGTTGAACGTGAATATTCTTAGCGAATAACGATAAAAGATTCCGTCGAGTCTGAATATTGAATAAATATTACTACTAGGAAAGAAGAGAGGAAAAAAAAAAAAAAAAGAGGTTTTAAAGTTCATATAAATACCGAAAAAATTGTTATTAAAGAAAAGGGATACTTGTTGGAAAGTAGGACGAATATATATAAATTTTTTTAAATTATATTTGCTATTGTAAAAAAAAAATTTTTTTTTCTCTCCAGTTGCCAGCTACCAATAATCAAACTATTTCTCTCATTAATTAATTAATTACGGGAAAAAGTTCGTCAGTAGAGAAGAGACAAAAAAAAAAAATAAAATTAATAAAAAAAAAAAAAAAAAAAAAAAAATAAAAAAAAAAAAGCTTCTTTCGACCGAAGTTGGATTGTACTGGGTTTGATGCTGTGTCCAGAACAGAAAAGCCGTTTACACACCTGTTCGATGATATCCCTTGCTTTCTGTTAGTTGAATTTGAATTTAATACATTAATATATTAAAAAATATATTAAAAAATATATTAAATATATATATTATTAAAGGGAAAGTTCATTTAAAAAAAAAAAAAAAAGCTTTTTAAAAAAAAAAAAATGTTGTGTATATGTTTATATGTGGGTATATTTATATATATATGTATGTGTATGATTGTTATAAAAGGTTTATGATATCATTATGTATAAGTTGCTTCATTCTCATGTGCTTCCGTGTGAAAATGAGAGAGTAATCGGATAAGTGTTTAAAAAATAATCACACAAATAACCACAAGAATGTGATGCAGAAGACAAAATTTTTTAAATCAGTCATCACCTGGAAGTGTCACCACAAACAAATAAAGGTAGCAACCTAGATCTACCTATGCTTAGAACGGTATATCATCCCATGTGTTTCATAAACACGCTGCTCGTTGATGATATCTATTACTTTTTACCTAATTTATTACTTTAAAATATATTAATCCTTGGAGCAAATCCCTGAAATCTACATGCATTTTACCGATTAAATAACAAGATATCATACCTAACATGCAATTAACTATAGGCGGGAAATGATTATCATTTAAATATTTTAAAATTTAGGTACGCGTATTTTACCCGCTTTTAGCAATCAAACGAGTGCTCAAAAGAAGTGCTCCCTTGAATGATTTGAATGAGATGATGAGTGATCAGACTTTGAGGCGCATTCTTCTTTGGCCTGATTCGGAAAATTTTTCATGGAAATCAACTTCTTCTTATGAGAACCATGTTAACGTGTTTGGCTTGTTTTTTTCTCGTGTTATTGTCGGTGCATTCTCTCCCCTAATTATAGATTGAAAAAGCCTTGGTTAAAGGATGAAAGGAAAAAAAAAAATGATCTTCTCATTAGTTATAGAACAGGGGAGAAATTAGAAATTAAAATTGATTCATTGATCGGTGATGAAATAAGGAATTTCATTTATAAATAAGGTTATTTACTTGAAAATTTGCCTAGTTATTTTTATTGCTAATGATTAGGAGCAAACATGTACATGTGAGATATATATAGATATTTTATAAACGATTTAATTTGGAAGAAAATTTAAACTTTTTAATATATCCATAAATATTTGTCTCATTTCCTTTGAAAAATATATATATATTATATCATTTAACCAAAACATCATTCCTATTTTCCAATTTTTCAACTATAACATTAATGAGGATGTTAAGAAGAAGGACATGACCCCACAAAAAATGACCGAAAGGGTCACTTAAATTCTGAAATTTAAAGTTCACCCCGCAAAAAGAAAAAAATATTTTCACAATTATCGTCATGTCATGTGATGCTTTTTTCTTGATCCATCTTATCAGTAAAAAAATGTATTTTTTTTTTTATTTACGAATTTCCTTGATTTTTTAAATCCGTATTGTGTTGGTTTATTTGATTTGAATTTTTTTTTTTTTTATCGTCAAGTTTATTTCTTTATTCTTTTTTTTTTTTTTTGGACTAGCTTATTATTTCGAGCTTAACCATTTATGAAAATACGGAGATGATACACAAAAATTAATATTTTTCCCGATTTTTCCTGTTATTTATACTTTGTAAGATCGAAAAAAAGAATTTGAATTGTAAAAAAATAAATAAATAAAAATATATATATAATTTTTTCAAAGATGAAACAACCTGATAACATCTAAACTTTAATTTAAACCTTATTATTTCAGAATTTGACAAATATTAAACATCATAAAAAGGGATTTCCTCATCTACTTGAAAAGAGAGAGACTCAAATTCTCGTTTGTTATTACCAAAAACAAAACCAATTTCCCCAATTTATGGTGTTTACAAAACTTGAAATTTTCTTATTAATTTCATTGTCAAAACATCGATGTTTAAGGATTACTTGGTTATATATGGTAAAGTGATTTATGCATCAAAAATCAACTTTTTTCAAATGTTTGGCCTCGTTGATTACCAGAAAATCTCGCTTGTTTTAATGAACCTTATTTAAGGTTAACTTAAAATAAGGGCGAAACCGGCATGAGGGAAGTCTATTACATATTTTATTTAACGGACATTTTCGGGGAAATTCCAACTGGTGCCGTTTCCTTTTGGAAGATTCAGGTTATGTTGTGCATATTCCATATCCATTGTGTTCTAAAATTCCAAACCCTTGATAACTTTCTCAATGATTATCAATTTTTAATTACATTTTAGATGAAAGATAAACAAAAGAATTCTCACTTCGTTGAGATTCATAAATAAGGAAATGTAAAGCTTAATATGGTGATGTTTGTTGTTGTTTTACTTATTAATGTTTTGCTTATCTAAAATTGATATTTATTACAAGTGATTCTTTATTCGAGGATCTAAAGAATATTTTAAAATTTATTAACAAAATCAAAATAGATACTTTAACAATTCTTTATCTAATTTAGTTATATATTATTTATCATATTAGTAATCTAATGTAATTTATTTGTTATAACCCTTAAAGAGATAAGACAAAGATATAAATAAATAGAAACTTATTTCTGTAATACAATTCAAATATAAATTCTTAAATTAATTCCGATATATATTAATTTATTAATTAATAATCGTAATTGATTATTATATATTTGAAATTATTGTTCCTAACTAAAATTAAGAATATATGGGAAAAATGAGTTAGTGCAAAACACTCAACATATATTTTGACCGAAAAATCAAATTTGACATATAAAAGTAAAATTGATTTTTTTCCGACAGTTTCCCCCGTTCTATTGCAAAGGTCCCATATGATCATCTAAAGGTTGTAATTTTTTTTTTTTTTTTAAAAAAATTATTAGAAATTATTTAATGAAAAAAAAAAAAGAATATTCTTATATGAAAATTTTGTAAATAATTTTCATCAAAGGTAATATTCAATTTATTTACTTAACAGATATATTCTTTTAACTATTCATATAATAGTTTGAAATTACTGTCAAGAATTTTACATTACATAGTTCAAATGACGATCCCTTGATTAAAAAAACTGACACGCTTTAGGTAACCGAAGGATTACTTGAAAATCATACATGTAAAAAAGAAACAATCAAGTCTCATCACTTGTTTACCCCACAATTTTTTATAGATGATATTTATATAATTATATTGAAAAAAGAAAGATTTAGAATATAAATATTTACAAAAAAATGAGAGAAAACAAAAACGGTAAGTTATATAAAGATTCCATAAAAAGTAATGTTTGCTTAGCCACCGGAATATACGCCGTAACCTATCCATTGTAAGCAATGAATGAACCCATGTTAAATGTTTAAGGATGTAACTCGAACAATTTCAAAAAAAGCGGGTCTTACAATCATAACGAATTTGTCAAATTACCGATTAGTTCATTTTCAAGGGTTTGACATACATATGTATATATATGACAAGGGTTCATATGATGTATGCAATGCACCAAATTTGCATTTACCTAACCAATTGGTTGATTATGTTTCATTTTTGACAAGGTTTTTTTGAAAATATGCAATGATATAATGATTCTTCAAAAGTATTCTTTATACATTGCGTTAGAGATTGTTTCTTTATATCGTTTAATGGAAATTCTTGTTATTGTTCATTATTAAATTTATCTTTTAGATCAATCCATCACAATAAGATTTTCGAAGTTCTAACATTTAAAGTTTACAGAAAGTTTCTTTCTCTAAGGAAAAGAGATTAAGGCACGGATCAAGTTGCGTCACACAAATTGATCAGTATAAGATGTGGTGCGATGTGCTAACAGAAACGCCCACAGCAAAAAAGAAAAAAAAAACTTTTGCGCACGCACATTTATAAAACCAATTTAGGTGTGTAATAATTTCCAAAGCGAATTGAGTGATTAATAATAAATACCTCAAAGAATATGTACATGAAAGAAACTTAACAATCAATCATTCGGAGAAAAAAAAAATTATTATTTACTTTTTTAAAAAAAAAAAAACTTAATTTTCATTGTCGTTCGAGCTTTATCCAATAATATTTTATGATACAAATTCACGTCTTTTATTTATTTATAAAAAAAGATTAGAATGCGAAATCCATTGTTCGATAGCGTATCATTGTAGATAATTATGGAAGAGATTTCTTTTTACGTGATTTCACATTCCCTGTTAATCATCACATGTGAAAAAAAGATTTTTATGTTATTGTATTTCGTAAATGAAACATGAATTTTATTTATTCATTGTCGTGATAATATTATCTGAATGTAATTGTTTTTTAGAAATGTTTCTAGAGAACGAACCTTACCAATTTGGAGTCGAATAATAATAATCTACTTGCTTACCATCTTTAGAACAATGGAATTTTTTTCTTTTTTACACCGATATACAGAAAAAAAATACACAAAATCGAAA